AAGACATAAGTGTGAAAGGTCTGCCCGCCTTACCCTCAGCAGCTACATGTCTAAATCCCCACTCCTGCTCAAGGGCCCACTTCAAACATTCCTCCTCTTTGCAGTTGTAGGCAATTGAAAAGACAAAATAGTGGATCTTATATTCAAAAATATATGTGGTTGTTGGCCATTGTATGGGAAAACACACATCTTGGTGGGCCCTTTGGCAAGATCTACTAAAATATAAAAAGCACAAACCGAAACCGGTTTGACTCAGTGGATAGAGCGTCGGCCTGCAGACTGAAAGGTCCCAGGTTCGATTCCGGTCAAGGGCATGTACCTGGGTTGCGGGCACATCTCCGGTGGGAGATGTGCAGGAGGCAGCTGATCGATGTTTCTCTCTCATCGATGTTTCTAACTCTCTATCTCTCTCCCTTCCTCTCTGTAAAAAATCAATAAAATATATTTAAAAAAAAAAAAAGCACATACCTTAATACACAAAGTTTACTTTTTCTGTCTCTCTAAAGCAGGGGTGTGGGACTTTTTTTCTGCCAAGGGCCATTTGGATACTTACAACATCATTCGTGAGCCATACAAAATTATCAGCTTAAAAATTAGCCTGCTATATTTGCTCAGACATTTAATTAACTCACCCCTAATGCCTTGGCAGGGCCAGACTAAAGGATTTCTCGGGCCTTCTGCGGCCAGTTCCCCACCCCTGCTCTAAAGAAACAATTGCAGAGTCATGTACAAGGTGTGGTTCATTGTAGCAGTTTCCCAGAGGAACACTAGCAACTACCTAGATGCCTAGGAACAGAGGAATGACTAAACAGAATGTGTCATAGTCATACAATGACTTACTGACTGTACAGTAGTTTAAAGAAACAGACTAACGATGTTTATCAGCATAGGAAAGCACTTTTCAACCAATGTGCAGCAAGGATTTTTAAAACATGCAATAACTGACTGTTTAGTCAGGGCGCTGACCTCTTTTCCCTTAGATTATCAAATTTAAAAAAGACAACAGTCAACAATGGTCATCCGGTGAATGAATCAAAATTATACCTTTTTTTGGTCAGATTGGCAAAAAATATATTTTTTGGTGTGCTACAGAATTTTAGTAATTAGTTTATGTGTGCCATGAGACGAAATAGGTTGAAAATCACTGGCATGGAGAAATCCCTAAAATATTCTTGAGTCAAAAATGCATTTTGCACTGTGATACAAATAATACAACTATTTTGTAAAACATATTTCTAAAACAACACTATAGGCATTTTATGAATTTGTATATTTTAAGAAAAGTATTTTTAAATATCTAGATAGCTATACCTCAAATACATAATAACGGTTACCTCTGGGAGGATGGTGGATAGGAAAGGATTTGCGGGATTAAACTTTATCTTATATTACTATTTTGGGATGAAGAATGCATTCATGTTCTTCTTACATATTTGAAATTAATTTTTCAAAGTATATGATTATGCATATCCAGCAAAGGCCCTATATCTAGAATATATTTTTTAATTCAAAACAGTAAAAAAAAAATTAGAAAATGGGAAAAAGACAAACAGATATTTCACTAATTGGCAAATAAACATATGAAAAGATGTTCATCATCATGCCACTTGGGAAATTCAGATTAAAGCCATAAGATATTACTATGCACTTATTATAACAGATAAATTAGAAGTAACACCAAATGTTGACAAGGATGCAGAGAAACTAGATTTCTCCTGCAATGCTGGAGGGGGAATATAAAATGACACAGCCCATTTGGGCAATTTATTAACAAATCTGGAAAGCATTTTGTCAATTTGTTAACAAAACTAAACATGCATTACTCAGTAATTGCACTCTTAGCCATTTATCCTAGAGAAATAAAAACTTAAGTTCCCACAAAGCCTGCATACAAATGTTCAAGCAGTTTTATCCATA